TGTTTATTAGGATGAAAACTAGCAAATGTTCAGATTTCAGAAGCTGCTTTCTGTGAATTATTTTGATCTTTCAGCATTTTTGATAAAAAACAAACGACTTAAACGATTAATGAGTTATCAAAGCTGGTGCCAATCAACTTTCTGTCACTCCACTGATCAATTCATTCACTCATTTAAGCTCGAGAGAGCTGGTTGGTTTGGGGAAAATGATGAACTGTATAATGGGGGTCCACAGTAGCCTAGCAACAAGTTTCTGCTCTGGAGCCCCTCAGCCCTCAGGAGGTTAATGTGTGTGTGTGTGTGTGTGTGTGTGTGTGTGTGTGTGTGTGTGTGTGTGTGTGTGTGTGTCAGGATTCATCAGAAGCAGAGAGAAGAAGAAGAACGAGAGAGGGAGCAACAGAGACGGGTGAGAGCATTTATCAAGACAGAATGAAATGTGGATTAATCCGCCGCTGAAAATAGTCCCCAACAAATGCTCTAACTCCTCCTGCTTCAACAAATCCGTAACACCGTGAATTCCTTCAGTGTTCCAGGTTCCTCATTCAGGCTGTTTAATACAAACATCATGTGTGTGTTTTAGAACCAGCCGGAAAAAGAAACCAGGAAGTCGGGCATCAACTCTGCAGCGTCGGTGCAGAAAGCTAACGTGAGGACAAACAGAGCAGCAAACGTTTACCTGTGAGAGAAGAATCATGTCGTCACGTACAGACGTTTCCTGGTTTGAATGTGTGTGTCGTTGACAGGAAGCCAGATCACTGATCTCTCAGAGATCGTTTAACCCCAGAGACATCTTCAAGCAGAGGGAGCAGAGCTTTGAGGCCATCGGCAAAGCTTCTCCTGCTGCGCCCAGACCAGGTAAACAACAACCACCTGGTGTAAATAACACCTGGTGAAACAGGAAGTGATTAACCTCGCTGATGTTTTCACGGTGTCCCTCAGGGAGGCTGCGGAGTCCGTTTGTATCTCAGAATGCCTTCGACAGAGAAACCCCGGTGCAGCCTCAGCATCCACCTTCTGTAGCTGTGACCCCCCCATCTCCTGTCACACCTGTCTCACCTGTGTTGTCTCGCTCACCTGCTGCAGCTGTGTCCCCCCCAGAGACCACAGGCTCACCTGTTCAGCCTGCAGGTCAGACACACCACAAATCCTCTCTCCCTCTGCGCCGCCTGTTTGGGATGAACACATTCATGAGTTCAAGTTCCTTTTGGGTTTAAATGTGCTGAACCTACTCACCTGTTCCATATTTCACACTCACCTGAACCTGACACTCAGACTCCTTTTCTTTTACTGAATCAACAACTGGCTTTGATTTGAAAATGACAGGTAGATCTTAACAGTGAATTAATGTTTGCGTCATGTGTGACTTCCACAGACGAGGAGGAGTGGTCTGATGAGTTTGATGACGACGCAGAGGAAGTGACGATAGGTACGACACCTGCTCCGTCACAGAATGATATCAATGAGCTCACATAACTAACCCCAACAGTAATGAAGTTATTTAATCAAGTATTGAACCCGATTATAAATGTGAGGTGCTGATTTTATAACTGATAAAAAACAAACGTCTCACAGATTCAGCTCCTGAAATTATAGGATTTTCTGCTTTTCTTAGTTTTGAATGAAACATCATCAGAGTCACTGACGTCAGTAACTCACCTGGTCTTCCTCCACAGCAGAGTATCGCTCTCACGGTGATCTGTACAGAGCAGAGCAGCCGGCGGCAGCAGAGGAGGACCTGTACGAAAACGTTTACGAGCAACAGGACACAGTGAGTCTGAGTTCTCTTCACCATCAGCTGATTTTATGCTTCAATTATCAATAATCAATTATTATAAGAATGATCTGAAACATTTTAACTTGTCTTAAACATCAGGCTGAAGAACAGGAGGCAGAAACCAACGGAGAGAACATCTGTGCCAGAGCGATATATGACTACCAGGCTGGTATGTACACACAGACACACACACACACACACACACACACACACACACACACACACACACACACACACACACACACACACACACACACACACACACACACACACACACACAGACACAGACACACACACACACACACACACACACACACAGAGTCTCATGCTGCTCCTTAAGCTGATGTATATTTTACTGTTACTGTAAATATTCATTGTTCTTTTCTGTCTTCCACAGCGGACGACACTGAGATCACCTTTGACCCCGATGACATCATCACCGGGATAGAGATGTTGGATGAGGGCTGGTGGAGGGGTTACGGACCTGACGGACACTACGGCATGTTTCCCGCCAATTACGTGGAGCTTCTCTGACTTTCTTCACCCTCTTTCATGTTAATCACAAAGTTCAGGTGCAAACATTAGTATGAAGCTGAGAACCAATCAGCTGACAGACAGGAAGTGACAAAATAAACTAGTTTGCGATGTCTCTGTTCAAACATCACTGGATTCAGACTCACAATAAATGCTGTTGTTCTTATAGTGTAAGTGTGTTTGTACCACACATTATTAAATCCATTATTTATTCTCCTGTGTAAATGAAACTGAGCGACACTAGAGCTGCTGTGGAGCAACCTGTGAGGGGAACGTGGTCTCACACTTTGACACCACTGTGTATAAACTAACCCTGTACTGACAGGTGTTCCTAATAGTTTGTCCATCCCATTTATAGGAATTAGATTTGACAAAATATTAGGAACACTTCTCAAACAGATTCAGTAAATACTGAACATTATATATGAAGGAGGATTTACTGCAGGCCTGTCCCATTATACTGCATCAGTTTCATCCAGGTTCAACTGATACACATATATGACTTAAAACTAAAAATCAAGGACACTTAAAAATGCTAAAACAAATCAGCCCTTTATTTAAAGTTTACCCAATATACAGCAACTCTTAATAAAATGCATTAAAACAGTCAGTGTCCAGTCTTTGCACTGCGCTCATTTTTACTCTCTCTCTTGGTGTTGAAGAGCTTTTCAGACCTTCTTAAGGCCATGGTGAACGCAATTTAAGAATAAAATTAAAAGAAAAAAAAAGAACAGCTCAGTAAAAGTCTTTGTCATCTTTGAATATATAAACTTCTTGGGCCGTAGCCGCTGTCCACGACCTCCTCAGCAGCAAACAGCAGAGACACGGTCCGACAGCAGCTGCTGAACATAGTGGAGCATTAAGAAGCTAAAGAGACAGATTTCCCTCAGGAGCTGGTGGAGACCAAACACAGAGCTAAAAGAGAGGGAACACTGACTGAGATCATCATTAGACATCAGCTGACACAAACACCACTCCAACTGCAACAAATCAAATATAATAATTATAAATAATGTCAATTAAAAGTTGTAAATGAAGATAGAAAACGTTGTCCTGTCTTCTCTTCATCTCTTCCCTCCACTCCTCCACAGTTTTTCCACCAACAGTCACAGTGTGACACACCTGCAATGTGAGTGAGGTCAGTGTCAATCCGTCTGGGTTGGACACACTTGCTGCAGATGTATGACGTTGGCAGCCGGAGGGTTTTTCCTCCAGGCAGCGGCCCCCGCTCTGCCACAGCAGCTTCAGGTCACCTTCCTCTTCCTGTAGGCTCTGGTCCTGGGTACAGGTAGTCCAGGCAGAGGAGGTGGAGGAACAGAAGAGGGGAGTGGTGCTGGAGCGAGGGGAGGACCAAACAGCACTGGGATGAGTGCGGCCGACGCCTGTTTCATCACGTCTGGAGGAGGAGGAGGAGGAGGAGGGGGAGGGGGAGGAGGAGGAGGAGGCAGACCCCTGCTGGAGGGTCCAGGCTGCTCCTCCGGGACATTGAAGTTAAAGGGTCTGTCCTTGTCCCACCTGGACCAAGGACAGACCCTTTGCTGAAGGGAGAGTCTGGCCAGCACCTGGAACACACAGACAAACAGACTGTTTTGGGATTTTCAGCTTTCATTAAAAGATAAATCACAGAACAGATTACAACACACCAACAGCTTCATGACAAACTCTTACCACTGAGTCCTCAATTCAATTCAAAGAGCTGGATGTTGGTCTGAGCCATCAACCTGGGGCCGGCCAGCACTGCCTCTCTGATGCCACATAATCCTTGAGAATGAATGACCAGCGAGTCCTCACGGTCCCTCTGGACCACGTGGCCACCAGGTGAAGACGGCAGAGCTGGTTGCAAACGGCCTCCACCCGGCGGCTAACACTGGCCCAGTTTGCAGGGCCCGAGTTCAGTCCAAGAAGACAGCTGAAAGATAATCAGAGAGCAGTGTGTGTTAATATAGATCTGATATTCATTAGAGGAAACAGTGATATCTGAAGTGAATCTCACCTCTGGAGACTCTCCTTCCCAGGACAGAAGGTGTTCTTCCCCGTCGCTGCCTTGAACTGTCACCTGGGCAGTTTAAGACTGGGCTCTTAAACTCTCTTCCTCGGATGCTGAAACGGCTGCAGCTGTGGTGAGGACTGACAGGATCATTGCTGCACCAATAGGAGAAGCCAGCCGTGGAGTCGGAGGCTCCTCCTCTCTGCTCCGACAGGGACAAGTAATCCATCAGTTAGTGTTAAAATGCCCGAGCTTTGTGCAGCAACAGGCTGTAATAACAAGAACAACTGTAGAGAGAGTCTTTGCTCTGCATGGCCGCCTACACCTGCTACCTGACCACAGCAGGCTCCTGGATATGTGGTACGAAGTCGATGCTAACACAGTTAGCATTCATAATTCGAGGTAAACTTTATATCTTAGTGTTAAAATAATCTTAGTAGCTAATTGCATCCATGTCAACACTTGGTAAATATCACGTATGAGGAGAAACCTTGTAATATTAGCTGAAGTTACTGTGTGTAAGCTAACTGTGTGATGTAACCGCTTGTATTAAAACCATAGACCAAGGGATAACATGTTATAACGTGTTTTAAAATGAGTTCTGCAAAGCGAAGGTGACGTTACCGACCTTAGTGTTAACAGAGACAGCGGGTTGTCAATGTCGGTAAGTCACGGTCACTAAACGATCCCGTTATTACAGTGAACTGTCGTGTCTGGACGTGCTGTTAAAGAGCAGAGCAGCAGACGTGGGTGTCAGGTTTGTTCATATTAAGTTTGGTTCAGTGTTAGTTGGCTAGTTTTCAGCTCTAGTTCATTTCATTATTGATGACAGGAGTCAAAACATCTGTTGGAATGATTCTGTCTCTGTCAGAATAAAGAACATCACTGAGAGCTGAGAACCATCATGACATGTGCACCTGCACAATGACACCAAACTGAGTCTTAGTTTCTATTCTATTGTTATGTAATGTTCTTTTGTCTTCTTCTCTGTACTCTACAATATGATATTGATATTATTTCTCTCTATTATAATGTTTTTTTCCATCCAGCCAAGGTCTGGATCTTTGGGGAGACCTACAACCTCTTGCAGCAATGATGGAGGTCCTGCACTACCTCCACCTGCAGTGTCCACACATGAAGATCTTCTCTTCCCAAACACAGACACAGTGTCTTATATGATAATATAGTATTTTTTAATGTAACACTTGTGGCCATAACATTGTTCAGTCTGATCAGCTGTGCTCTTCCTTGTTCCCTACACCCTCACTGTCGTATTATCTCTCTCTGCCCCACGTCAGACATACAAATCAACATGAACTTCTGGACTCCACTGTAGATGTAATAAATTGTCAATTTAGTTAAAAACATTAGAGCTCATATTTTCATAGTCCTCAGCCATTATAGTTAATATCAGTGGTGCTGTTCAAACAGACATGCAATTATTTAGAGGGAGATTGTTACTAAGAAATAAATATTAACTGTCTCACACATTAGGACTCATTGATGAATAATGATTATACTTGTTACTAAAGATCTGTTTGCTGTTTGATTGGCAACTACTTCTTTTTTATTAAGAAACTTACATGTGACAGTGATTCGCTTTTAACTCAACCACAACTATTTTTTGATTTTTTGAATAGTTAGCTTGATAGTTTAATTATTCTGCTTCTACATGTTTCCAGTGTTTTCAATTGTTTAAAGATATGTAAGTTATAATGTCCAGTAAAGTAAAGCTAAGAACCAATGACAATGAAGGATCAAAAAAATGCTCGATGTTAATTTGTAAATTACTTTACCTGTGGAGCGTGGTGCCACAGTGCTAGGATTATGTACATCAACTTATCACTGTTTAATATTGTCATAAATCTGAGTCTTATAAAGTGTTGCTACGATCACACTGTCAACAACAGCAAAATGAAGTTGCAGGTAAAAACTGAACCTGTGAATACTGAAGACAGAGAATAATAAATAACTCATCAAGCATTAGTCTGTCATTTCATCGAGGAAGATTGAAAACTGGGAGAGGTTTCTACCATCATCATCATCACAGCACATTTGAGAACTAAGGATGTCATGCAGTCTCCCTTCTTCCACAACCAGATGCAATGGAACAAGGGTGCTGCTCTGTACAGAGGTCCTCTTCTGTTGGCACAGATCACTCGTTTCACAGAGTGGAAACCTTTCAAATGACAATAAAACACAAACACTTGAGTTAAGATACGGTGGATCACAGTTAATCACAAATATCGATCAGCTGTCAGGATAGGTGCATGAATGTCTGCTGGTTTGAGTATTAAATGAACAATCTTCTATATGACAAATATTTGTCTACACATTTTAACACATCTTAACTTGAACTATCACGACGTCTCGATTGACAATGTATTAACTAACATTAACGCTGCGCATTACACTAACGCAGATCACTTAAACTCATGTGCAAGAAAAACAAACCAAACGTCGTTAGATTAACGTCGATTAAATTCACCTTTTTATTGGGCTTTGACTGAACACCTCTACGGGCTAACCCAGGTTGACACAGGTTATCAGCCCAGCGGGGCCAGGTACCGTTAGCATAGCTATCGCTAAGTTATCAGCTAACGCTAGCACTAGCTGGCTAGCTTGGTTAGCAAGGTGCGTCCTCACCTGAACTGTGATACTGTGATATAGGGATACTAACTTTGGCTAGCAAAAAATAGGCTTTAAACAAAATGTACTTACTGGAAAAATTTGAACCACCGACTCCTCTGAGTGTCTTTGAGAACAACTGAACGCCGAACAAGACATTTTCAGGTAAACAACATGTGGGAGCTAACTTTGATGAACTGAAAACACAACAACACATCGTTCTAACCTCATATCCGGATTAACAGGCAGGTCCCCCTGTGTCAAAATCACGCAGTAGCCACGCCCCCAAAACACTCTGCTTCGATAGAATGTTAGCACTTCCGCGTTGGCTTCCAGACCCGGAGTCGACCTCCATTTTTATATATAGTATATGCTTTGAAGACGAGCTGTTTCTGTTTCCGGCTCTCGACATCCTTGTTCAATTTTTATGTTACAAGTTGGATAATGGAACAAACTGATGCTTTGGTGCGCTGAATTTAATTGCACGTCTTCATTTAATAGGACATCAACACACTTAAAGAGTTAACAGCGTACAACATACATTTACACTCATAAGTAGGAAAATGAAACTACGCAATACCCCTAAACTGGCATTTTCATTATAACGTGAACAACTGCACAAGAATTATACTTCATGCACGGACTAATATTAGTATTTATCCAGTCATTTTTAGACCCGTTATCAACGTTAAGTATAACGTTTGAAACAAGCGACGGTGAAATAAATTCCATACGTCATCACAGGGCGACAAGAGTGTACTGTCAGTGAAGAAGGAAAAATGGCTGCAAGGTTACTGCTCCGCTCGACTTTCAGAGCCGCTACAGCCTGCCGGGTTGCCCGGGCTGCCCCGGCCCCCGCTCTGACCCGCAGTATGGCGACTGGAGGTGAGGACGAAACCGGCACCGAGACACCGAAACACGAAAGAGCGGTGAAATCTGACTTTAAAACAGCGGGTTGTCCGCGGCGAGTAGAGGCGGAAGACGTCCGCTCGCTGGCCGGCTAGCATTAGCAACGTCTGCAGCGTTAGCGAAAAGGTCAAACGTGATTTATTTGACAAATTCCATTTAATAACAGATTCAGCGGCTGCTACAAACATTCAAATGTGTTTTGTTTTTGTGGTTGGATGTTTACCGGGTACAAAACCGCTTTAACTTTACTTATATTAACGAAAACCCGCTCAGCTAACGTTAGCTAAGCCGTGCTAACCATGGTGTTAAAGAAGATAACGTGACTTCAGATATAAAAAGTGAAACTGTTAAGGTTTCTGTTTATGAGGTTTATGGACTAATGAAGTTAGATCATACCGATGTAATTGTAAAGGACCTTCACACAACAAGGTCATTAACTGTACTGTTAATTCACCGGACACAAAGGTTCTGAAAAGGAAAAAAAAATAATGGAAGAAGTAGGATTAAAAGTTGTCTGCTAACGTTTCATATTTGTTTGATTTTTGAAGGTAAAAGACGTGAATCCAACTCCTGCAGCAAACGCATTAAAATAAGCCTTATTTCTAAATGTTAATGCGCTGTTACTTTTTATTTCAACAACTTAAAACACAGAACTATGTAATCTGTAATTGCAGCATGTGTTGCTTAATCAGTACTTATTAACATCTTGTTAGCTAGCTGGTGAACAGACGGCTATAAACGTGTTACTTTGAGGTCGTGTTACAGCCAGTAACACGGATACACATACACAGATAGAGGGAATAATAAATTCCACTAAATCTCAGCAGATTCTGGAGGCAGATGTCCTGCAGTCAGTTAGGAAAGAGAAAGTATGATGAGGCTGGTTTCCTCAACAGGACCATGATCCAAAGCAGACCTCAAAATCCACCATGAACTAAGCTGAAGCTTTTGGACTGGCGCCCACAGCACCCCTCCTCCCTGCCCCAATCTGAACATCACTGGGTGGTTGTTAAATCTGCTGTGTGAGCATGGCAGACTGAAATATCTCAGAACCTGAAGTGATCTGCAGGAAGAGGCTGAAAATTCATCAGTCACAAGTGAAAAACTATTTTTTAGTCATCATGAAACTGTCAGGACTAATCAGACTGTGACAGAGGGCAGAGGACGTCACTAGAGTAGTTGGTCTGTCAGTGTGGCCCAGGACACGTTTGGTCAGATCACCTGAGGTCTGAACGGGGCCATAGCTGCTACAGAACATGTTTACAAGTAGGGTGTCGAAATTTTGCACATTTATCATGTTTTAATTTGATGAAATAAGAAGTAACAGTTCAATAACATTTGAAGAAAAGCCCATTTTAATGGCTGCTTGCTGCAGCGATTGATTTCACGTCTTTTACCTTCTAAAGTCTAGAAAATGTCAACAGATCATCAGCCGGATTCTGCTGCTAACTCTGCTAGTTGTTGGAAACCCACCGACATGTTTCACTTTCACCAAGGCTGTCTTGTCATCTGCTTGTTAGCTCAAACAATTTAGTGGGATAAAAATAACACTGTATGTTAAAGGGCTGTTGTTGAATATGACGTCTCGCCTGTCGCCTTCGCCTATTCCTCAGACATGTTTTCATTTATTTGCAGGGATTCCCACTGATGAGGAGCAGGCCACTGGACTGGAGAGGATCATCATGGAGAACATGAAGGAGGGAAAGGTAAGATCACGGGTCTGGTTTCTGTCTGTCAGTTAATCAAGCTCTTTTAGTGTTGCACCTGTCGTACAGATTAATGCAATTCATAGTGATAATAAGACAGAACAAGTAAACGGGGAAGACAAAGAAAAATAAAACCAATAAAATTTAATATATAAACAGTAAAAGAGACAAATGACAATAACAAATAAAATAGAGGAAATAAAAACGCTGAAAACACAAATAAAATAAATAAAAGCTGATTACTTTTATCAATTCACTTGCCAGTTATTTTCTATATTAATCAATTAATCATTTGAACTTTAAAATGGCCGTCACTTTCTCAGAGTCCAAGATGACGTCTTCAGAAGTCTCATGTTATTAAACCAACGGTCCAGAACCCAAAGAGATTCAGTTCACAGTGAGATAAAACTTTACATGTGTGAGACTGAAACAACAAATGTTTCAGCAGTTTCGCTTGAGAAAATGACTTGAAGGATCATTATTAAAATAGCTGCTTATTATTCTGTTGATCAATTAAGTGACTAATAGTTTTAGTTGTAAAATAATATATTGAAGAAAATAATGGCCCTAAAACATTCTAATTAAAATTCAGGTTTAGTCATCAGTGACGATACAGCCAGAAAACACCCTTTACACTTCAGATCATTAACTGTTTGAATATTAATGAGGTGATCAGATGAACTTCTGTGATTTGGATTTTCACCCTTTTCATGGTGAACACACAAACAGATAAAGAGTCTGAGTTCAGCCGTAAACAGTGTGAGCTCATTGGAGGATAAAGATGACAGCAGGTGGATTAATCAATACGTCCACAGCCTTGACCTGGATAAGCTGCAGAGAATGGATATGAGGTCGTCCACACAGTCGCCTGCGGAGGCGGCGTATCGATCACAATCTCTTATCCTGCAGCTGAGACACTTCAAACAAGCTGCTCCAGTTTTAAATAATTAGTCTTTTAGGAGATAAGAAATGTCCGGAGCTCGTTAATCGTGACTCCGGAGCGAGTTATCTGAGACCAGCAGCTGTGTGACGGGACAGTCTGGGAAGTGAAGTTCACTTATCTCAGACGTGAGCGATTTTACTTGTTGTCAGGGTGTTTTCTCTGCTGGGGTGTCTCGAGCTCAGGGAGTGATGTCACATTGTTCAGTGTGTGGAATCTGGACCTTTCTTTAAGACAGTGTTTAATTAATCACAGTAATTGATCCTGGTCACACACAGATTTTCAGATTGAGCTGATTGACTGTGATCTCTCCGTCTGTTTCAGGATCCCTACAACATGATGAAGCCAAAGGCCTACAGCGGCACCAAGGATGACCCCAACATCGTTCCCTCCATCACAAACAAGAGGATTGTGGGATGTGTCTGTAAGTTTCTTTAAGCCTTGACCATTATATCTGGTTTAGATCAGTGACACTTTAAACCTACATTCAGTCTGTGTACACCTCAGCCTTTTTTATCTGACCACAGGAGAACCTGATCTTTGGTCACAGAGACTCCGCGTTGCTGAGTTTACAATCACAACAGCAGTTTTACGACACGTGACGCACAATATTTTTAGAGTGTTTGAGCCCAGTGTGGACCGACGCTGTGACACACTGGAAAAATTAGTAAAATGACAAACAGGAAATGTCACTAAATGATGTTTATTCTGTGAATTAAAACTTTATGAAAAAGAAAACTCAGAGGAAAACTTAACAGCAGCTAGTGTTCTTCTTGTTCAACAAAACCAAGAGTCTCTGATCACGTCAGTTTCAGTAGAATTTCTCAGTTAAACTTTCATTAATAACATCAGTGTTTTAGGATGATCAGTGTTGTAGCTCTCAATCAGAACCTCCAGTGTTTTGATCACAAACAACAGGACATTAAACTCAGCAGACATCATGATTTCTTATCAGGTTGGAGCTGCAGGTTTGCAGCATTAAACTGACAATAAAACCAGTGTCTGTCTCTATTTCAACTGAATATTTGACTTAATTAATAATTTTAATTTTGTCAGTATTGATTTTGAACATGGAGTTTCAGAGAGATGGAGATGTGGACACAGATGGAGGTCTGAGACCAGACGGGATTTGATGAAATGTTATCAAACTCAAACAGGGATTACAAAGACTCATGTCAAGTCTCATGTTGTGCACAGTTTCACACACAGAATAAAACATTTTACCACACAACAACACATCAGCAGAACCTCTGCAGTTTGTGGTGTCAACTACATCCTGTGTTTTGTTGTGTTGTGTGTACTGAAGGTGAAATATTAAAGAAGTGATGCAGTCATATTATTTCTTTGCTATGCCCCCATATCCTGTTTTAGAAATGTAAATATGGTGCCCTTCATGTGCACAGACATAGAAATTAAAATGTGTTTTGTCCTGTGTTATAAAATCCACTATAACTGTAATTGAAAAGTTTATATAATCAACAAAATAATCATAAATCCGAAACATAATAATGGTGAGAAAATCAACATGAAAATAATTCACTCTAAAATGGAAACTAATCTGTCAAGAAGTAGTTTTAATGCTCCCATAATGCATCACTCTGTATCAGCCCATGTCCCAGAAGGTTGGGGGTTAGTGTTCATCATCTTGGTTCCATTAATGCAACATTTTCTTTGTAATATTCAAATCAAATGTTAAATGTTCAATGACTTTTACTTCCTGTTTGTGTCTCTGACGTCATCCCACTTCCTGTTTGCAGGTGAAGAAGACAACACAGCTGTGGTCTGGTTCTGGATCCATGAGGGCGAGGCCCAGCGCTGCCCATCCTGCGGCTCCTACTACAAACTGGTCCACTACGACCTCCCCCACTAACTTATACCAGAGCTCTGTTATTATAGGCGTGTTTATCACAGCTGTATCTGCGCAGCGTCGTTAACTTCTCTGTGAAATATTCCTTCAGAACGAGGCGAAGAAGAATCAGACGGAGACGATTCCCTACTTCAATCTCCAGGAACATTCGTGGCTCTGTCTACTTCCTGGTCTTAGCGTACGTGTCCTGTTCTGATTGGTCTTCAGCTCGTTCTGTCTCAGTACTTGATCCACTTTCTAACCTCATCAGTCTTTGCTTTACATGTGACCTTTACACAGGGATCAGATGTGGTTTGGGACACAACAGTTTCTTTGCAAACATTTCCATTCAGCTGCAGTTTACATTAACATATGTACTGTACAACGTTACACTCGGTCCACTTACTCCTTTTATTGAACCAATAAAGTCTTGAACTTAAATTAACCCGCTCTCAATTGGAGTTTGTTCACATTTTTCTGATTGGAGAAGATTGAAGCGAACAACATGGCTGACCTCAGATCAGTGGTCAGCACACTGAGCTGCTGTCTGCAGGGTCTGCTTGATATCCTCGAAAGTTTCTAAATTTTAGGGGAAAAGAGGGCGTGCATGGTATTTGAAGATCAGATCAGATCAGAACAGATCTTTGAAAGTGCTGGAATTTATATATTTTGTGCAAAAATTGGAGGTTTTTTAAAATATTTTTTTCCCTTAACATTAGAAAAATACATGACGTGCTGCTGTCTGTGCAGAGACCACACAGTCTGCATCACGAACAACACAGTTGAGAAGTGATCACAAATTCAAATTGTCTGAGCTTCTATAAAGCTGCTAGTTCATTAGCTCATTATAAAAAAGTTTAGTGTTGTAACATTAATGAATAATACCAATAATAAACTTTATTAATGTGGCACCAAGTGCTTCACATTAAAAGACAAAATGAACATGAAACATGTTAAAAACACTGATGAAAAATGAAAAAAACATTAAAACCATTAATGTAAAATGAGATGGAATAATACAATAAAAAATGATCACATACAAAGTGTATCGGTAAGACATCAATACTTATAACAGCAGTTAATTAACCTCGACCTGTGTGTCAAGTTATGCCGTAATGGCTCCTACTCAGCTGCTCATTGTAGTTTTTAATCGAACAAACAGGAGAAAATGTCGTATTTGTTGGGGACTATTTTCAGCGGCGGATTAATCAACAGCCAGTGAGACATCCAAACCTCAGATTTATTATTATTTGAAAATAATAGCAGCAAATGTGTAAACATTGAAGAAGCTGGAAACATCAAATGTTTTCACATGAAGATGAGTAGTTGTCAGTCACTGGTTTCTGTTCTACTTGTTTATCCTGCAGAGTGGTTTGATTTATTATACAGCGTCTAATTTTATAAGCAATTCATATGTTTTGTTGAGTAACTAAAGCTGTCAGATAAATGTAGTCAGGAAAAATATTTTCCTCTGAAACCGAAATGTATAAAGTAGCATTAAAAAAAAATACTGAAAGTACAAGTACCTACAGTTTGTAGATAAGCACAGTACATAGGTTAAATGTTCATGGGATTAGTTGACAGGCGTCTTTGGCTTCATGTGTGAACCAGTGTGTGACAGCTGACCAGCAGAGGGCGCCAGTCACAAACACTTTCTGCTCATGACGTTGAAGCTCCCAACACCAGTTCATCAACACAGTTAATTTAAAAGTCGTCTGCACGGTGGCCATGAGTTTCCAGCTTTATTAAAATAAGAGGTTTTACTCTTATTTTGCCGACTTTTCAGAATAAAACACAGTAACAAAACATCCCCAGACTCTGACAGATGAACTGCAACCTGAAGGTTTATATGAATAAGGAGAGTTTGTGAGAGGTGATGATGTGAATAATAGAAAACAGACTCCAGCCTGAGAAACGACCCTGGTGGAGCAGGTATTGACGAGGTGAAGTGATCTGAGCAGCAGCAGCTTAATGGTTAACAGAGTCAACCTACAGCTACAAGGTGTGTTTGATTTTCAGTCCCTCTGTGTGTGGAGTTTACACATTCCCCCGTAGAGGTCAGTTTTGACAGAACCATTTATAAAGTATTTATAATTAATGGTTTTATTGATGGTTAATGAATAATTTACTGATGCTTTATAGATTAGTTAATTAATAACAACAACAACCTTTGTGTTTCCAGGTTGTGGAAAACCCTCGAGCAGGACTCTTTGTCTTTTTATCTCTTTAATTCCAACAGACTGCCTGACCACTTATCTTCTGACAAACAATAATTAACATAATTAACTGTTGCCAATTCATTTTCTGTACGTGAACTAATCAATTAATGAACTAATCTCAGCTCAGAGGACCGAGTGATAGTAGTTCCGGGTGTCTGGAGAAACAGGGGCCCAACAACCATCCAGTCTTTGCCAGAGTGGTGGGCGGACCAACGTTACCATCCCCAGAGCCATGTACCGATCACGCCTCATTAGTGCAGCAGATAACGGCTCATCTCAAGGAAATCTTTCAAATGTGGATAGAAGTGCTCAACTTGCTCCTTGGGTATTATTCTTTTGACAAAACATGAAAATTTAAGATGGCCGCCATTTCTGGTGAGGAAACGTTATTTTTTCATCCACAGTTTTTCTCATATGAATAATCTAGTTGTCAAATTAAGCATTTTAACAGTGTAGAAGTCAAAATACTAGGACACTGTAAAAAAGAAAAAAAGAAAGTATATTTCAGCAAAAAAAAATTACGCACAAAAAAGCTTGCTAACTAGACTAGTGCTAGCGAGTTAGCCTAGCAAGCTAATGTTAAGGCAAGTAAACAAGTAGATAGCGACTCTTACAGAACTTTTGCTTCATCATTCATAATAAATGGTTTCCAATCACATTGTGTTTTATGCATAGCCTGAAACATAGGATTCAAATGTAAACTCTATTAATTCTGCGGTAAAATATGTGTTAATAAAATATGTGTCCTGTGCCAGAAATGGCAGCCATTTTGAATTTTCAAGTGGCTCCTGGGATTTTTCAAGTTAATGTCCAATAATAAGGATAAATATACCACTTTTGGTGTTTGTATCCACAGCTGAAAGATTATTGCTGCCGTACACAGACAGACTTCAGATCAGTGTGAAGATCTGTGGAGTCTGGAGGGAACAACAACATCGACCTCAGACCACTGATCCCTGTGACCTTCACACACTGACTGCAGGGACGTGAACAGCAGCAGCTCATTGTTCTGTGTCAAAACCCTCATGGACAGTGGACACAGGTAATCCACTCACTTCAAAAATACCCATAATCCTTTGATATCTGCTCAGTTTAAATGGCCACGATTCACAAAGCATTAACGATAATAAAACGGTTTAAATGTTCATTTTCTTCAGCTTTTCAACACAAAACTAACCAGTTTCCACTCCCTCTTTCCTGTCTGGATGCTCAGGTGTTCAGTGATGTCACAGTTCATAAAGTAAAGAAACTTTCTGTCCTCACAGTCTGGGTTCTGGGCTGATCCTGGATTCTGGAGCAGACACTTTCTGTCAGGTCTTTGTCTTCAGCTGCATAATGAAACAGGCTAATTGCACCTTGTCAGTTAACGTTGACCCTAAATGGACCCTCAGCGTTAAGTTTTCTTTTTGCTTCTTAAAATAAACTTTCAGTGAGAACCTGACCTGTGTCTCAAGGACTCACTGATGTCTCTTCTCCCTCGGGACCAGTGAGGAGCCAGTTCTGACTCGGTGTCTCCTGAGAACCTGTCCTGCATTTAGACAAGTTTGAGAGCAGAACGTTACGCAAGCCACACTCCAGACCAGCCGGTGGAGGTAATGTGCTAATTCATTGTTTGCCTTCTGCCAATTAGAAAAAGAAGAAGAAGTTGGGGGCAATTTCTGCAACGATGGCTTATAAATTTACTTTACTTTCACTCACCTGGGGCCAGATGTATAAAGGATGTTTGCACACGAAGCACATTTATGAAGTTAACTCTTCCTCTTTGTCCTTTAACGTGAGTCAAAATTTGACTGTTAAATGTTGTAAACGAAATCCTTGGGTTAAGTGAAGGCAACATTTTCCTGATGACGTGATGAATAAAGTGAGATATATACATGGAACCTGGCTGAGGAACATGGCTGCTCTCTGGGAACAAGATGTCAACATTAGTATTAGACGTCAGGAACAGTGTAATTGATGACTGTGTGAGAGCAGCGTCTGCAGTGACAGTGACTGATTCTCTCTGTCACTCACCTCTGCAGCTTCTCATTAGAGTCACTTGACTTATTAAATTGACTCTCAGCCTCTTTCGCTTCATCTAATGGGCTGTGCAGCTTCTCGTCCCACCTCACACTGCGCGTCTTCTTCTTCTTCTGTTTCCTCTGCAGCGGCGCTGTCATCTCCGCTGTCAGTCAAAGCCTCTTCACTGCGGATCACTGTGTTACAGCTGTGACAGCTGTGCAGCATGAGGACACACAGCTGTGGATTGGTGATAGACACGGTGTGGGTGTGGGTGGGGAGTATTAAGGCCAGTGTTTACGTCCGCTCTCTCCTGGTTGGCTACAGAGGTGTTTTGACGTGGACGTCGCCTCTGTGACGTCACTCACATGTTTCTGAAAAGCAGTTTTGAAGCTCAGAGTGAGCTGCTCCACCGTTGCCATCTTGGCAGTATCTGACTCCGCCCCCAACTCCCAGCTAATCCAAAAACAGATACTTTTGTCAGGGGCCGAATATTTTTGCTGGGGGCCACGTTTGGTCCACAGGCCGCTGTTTGTCAACTACTGCTGCCACTGAAAATATTTATTCATGAGCTGGATCATCGGTCAGGTGTCTGTTTAAATCATCTGGTGCGAGTTGGTAAATGATGAAAACAGTCACATGACGTGTGAAAATCAGCTGTTGCTCCTGCAGACAGTGAACGAGACACGAATGAGCCGTGACCTTGAAACGTCATTATCACGGCTGAGAGAACAGCAGGCTCACCTGGACACCAGGACGTGTGAAGGACGCAGAGACTCTGAGCTGCCAAGACACGACAAGCAGCTTTATTAAACTATGAACTATAATTCATTATAACAGGAACAAACACGTGGAGCCAAACGCATCCAGGCACCGTCCTTGTTCCTTAAACATGTGACTACTTCATTCTTTTTAAGGGCAAGAGCAACGTGTAAAAGTCAGGAAACATTTAATAACATGAAGTGCAGGTGAGGTTTTGGAGAACCAGATCAGATGAAGTTGGTCAGTGGATTACAGTTATACAGTAAGACAAAGTCATTTTAACAAACGTACAACAATATAAATCATCAGATTCATCATAGTGACACAGTTTCCAATCAGAAGATCTTCCAAAATGGCATATTTTTATTTCAAAGATGTTTTCACCATCACGTTACTGTGATATTAGAAGTCCATTGTGTTTGAGTAGACCATGTGTTTTTGAAGATAACGGTCACCAGAGTCTCTG